GACGTCATCTAAATTGCAAAACAAATAAAAAATCGTCTAGCCCCCTATCGAGTAAATTAACTTGCATCAGGCCCCCTATCTAGTGAATTACTTTGCATCAAGCCGCCTATCGAGTGAATTAATTTTGCGTTGAAGAACTTTGAAGTATTTTTAGTCAGTATTATTTCATAATTCTGACAATATATTTATGAAATTTTATATCACATGCAAACAAGAAACCTAAATCTTTAACAACATCCACTCTATCCAGAGCAAAACCGTTGATTTTATAAGAAGTATTAACAAAGTCATTTGCTTGTCCAAAATACATAGAGATACATTTATCAACATTCATTCTCGGTTTCCATTTCACACTCCATTCATACAAACCATTCGAACTGCAGCTTGTAGAACCATCCTATCTTTGTTACATGAAACACGTTTAAATATCTTACCATCATCAACATACATGTGAAGGTCATTCCCAGAATCCTATTTACAAACATCAAAAATATTATTCACATAGAGAGATTCTTGTGTCAAATCATCCAAATAAACTACAGCCAACGCATATATTTAAAAACAAAAGCCTCTTACCACGGACACACGAGGTAGGTACGGAAGTCTGAACAAAAAGTTGTAACTGTTTAAAACGATCAAGATACAGTATGAGGTTTCAAACATAGTTTTTCTTATTTTGTCGCGAAACACCATCTCATACGTACACACATTCACAAGTCCACACTTTCACTCACACTTGCACAAAAACATGCTTACAGACACATACATACATATTCACAAAGCATAAAAACACGTACACATGGTATACACACGTTCATACATTCACACTTACACACATATTACATTCCCATACAAATGTACACATATATACACACATACATACGCAGAGATACACACACATACACACACGCATACATGTGTTATTATACTCACAGATGCACACACACCTACATTCAAGCACATACAGATACACAAACATATACAAAAATCATGAAACAACATACAAACATGTATACGCACACATCCACTTACATACTTGGATATACACACATTCACAGACATATTTACGTCGTTCGTTTGTTCGTTCATACATTCACACGCATGTACACACACATACGCAGAGATACACACATATACATGCACACATCAACTTCCATTAAAATACTTCAGTCATTCTTCCTACTAGTGTGGGCTGCTTTGCCATTTTCAGTTTTTATAAAAACCGACACAACTACGTGTACTGTACATGTGCAATGGAATAAATGCGCCAACAAATTGTAAGTACGGCTGAATTAGTATAATAAATAAATAAATAAATGAAACAAATGAATAAAATATTAAATGTATAAAATTATGAATAATTACACACACACATACATACACACACATACAAACACATACTACATACACATTCATACACATGCATGCATACACACACATACATACATACACACACATATATACACATGCATATATACACATACACACATAGACATACATATATACACAACTACCACACGCACGCACGTACACACACATTTATTCATAAAAAGCTTTCATTGAACAACAATCTCTTTTTTCAGTTTTCTGCACTTGTTATTTTTTCTTGAAAAATGTTTTAACTTTTTATGTAAAAATTTGTATCTAACTAATCCGGACTACCCTGGTCACTACCTATAACACTCCATAAAAAAATCTTAAGCCCACCCACTTCCCCCCCACTTAGGAGAGTTACTAAACGCTCGTATGGTCATCTTTGCTTGGTTTAAAAAAATGAACTATTTTTTAATACATTTCAACTTTTTCTTTTCAAGAAAATTTAGTTAACAACAAATGGTTTAATAAATGGATTTGTTCTGTTTCTCGTGTAGGAAATTTATCGTTTTGTGCTGATTGGTGGTCAGTTTCCGTGATAATTTGTTTGGGCACGAGGTGGCATTTTGATTTTGTTTCTTTGACTATTCTATTGCTGAACGGTTATTTTTCAACTTTTCCCACTCACAGTGTGTTTTTCGAATTATTTTTGAAGCAAGTTTTATCGTTCTTGAAAGATTTTTTGCAAACACACACACTGATAATCGTGGAAAAAATGTTATAGAAAAGCAATTTATATATCAAAAAACACAGTTTTGCGTAGCAAATGGAATCAAGAGGGACGTGGTAAACAAAAAGTCGCCTAAATAATTTTGGTCATACTAAAACAATTTTAGTAATTTTCTTGGCCCTCACATCAAGTTTCAACATTTTTATAGATATTCAAAAAATTTCGGCCCCCTCGTCAAAGTAGTTTCGATCCGCCACCGGGCAAGAGATTAGTTGAATTATTGAACGCTTTTGAAGCAAATCATTTATTTTATAAAAATTAAGTTATTGAAAACAAACGCAAAGCAAAAGTAGTTGAAATTAAAATTCTATTTTTTGAAAATGTTGAAAACACATTATACTATTTCGTTCTCTGTAAAAATTTTTGATGTTAATAACAAACAACTATTCTTGCATTTAGGTAAGCAAATTAATAAATAACAAAATGATTATACGTAGACATATATATGTAACAAGACAACAGATATATATATATATATATATATATATATATATATATATATATATATATATATATATATCTGTTGGTTGTTGTATATGTATATATATAAATGATTTTGAATCCATAAAAGAGCGCGATGTTATTAACAGACAGCCGGCACTTGGCGGTCTTCTTAATTATCCAAATAAATTATCAGGCTGAAGCTGACGGATTATAACTTCCTCTATCTCTCTCTATATCCCTCTCTCTCTCTCTCTCTATAGATATATATATATCGAGAGAGAGAGAGAGAGAGAGAGAGAGAGAGAAAGAGAGAGAAAGATTTTATACCATTTGGAAAATATTTTCTTTTGCTGTATTCGCTATTTCACGGCGTCGTTTAAATAACGCCAACAAGTGTTCAGTGATTCATAAAATTATTTGACAGTCTTGTATGTTGAGTAAAAAATTCATAAAGTGTTTGCCTACTTTTGTTTTATCTTTGTTGTGAAAGTTATAGAGCTTCCCCATGGCAGTAAAAAAAAAGAAACCAAAAACGCATGCCTCGTCGCGGTGAGGATGTTTATGGCTAAAACTATTTACTACGACAATATTGTGAATGAAAATAATAATTGCTCGCAAAACCCACAAAAAAACTATAGGCAAAAAGATAAGGCATGACAAACGTTGATAAGGAAGCTATTATATCTTCATTTCATATCACGATTTAATACAATTTAATTCGTTAAATTTAATTACTGAGAAAGATGTAATACTCATAAATGCCGAGTTTTTCAGAGA